TCCAGTTCCTCAATCGGAAGCCTCGGCGTCTGCTCATCGTATTCGACGGCTCCGACCACCTGCACCCGGAGGACAAGAATTATGTCAATATTGACCAATACATCCCGCAGAATGCCCAAACGCATGTCATCATCACTAGCCGGAATTCAAACGCCGCGAGAAACCTATCGACGTTTGAGGGCGTTGCGATCGACGTTCTTCAGGAAGAGGATGCAGTTTTCGCCTTCTTCAAATCCGTCGGCAAGGAGGCGCCCAGTGCCGATGACAGGGCGAATGCCAAAGGGATTGTCAAGGTCCTAGGGTATTTGCCCCTAGCCATAAGCCTCGCCGGTTCTTATGTCGGCCAAACACCGAGAATATTTTCCGACTTGTCCTTGTATCTCGAGGAGTACAAGCACCGGAAAACGGAGCTGTGGAAACGCAAGGACATCCACCACCACTCCAGCCACAGCGTCATGACGGTCTGGGAAACGTCTTACCTAGCGGTCTTGCACCAGTCACCAAATACCTGCAGACTACTGAGTCTTTTGTCATTCCTCAACAACGAGGGAATACACATCAATCTATTCGCCGCCGACGAATCCTCCACAGCCAGTATGTTCTGGGAACCAGCAGTCACGGCCAGAGACCGAGCTAGTATCCACGACGTTGAGCAGTGCCTGGCTATTCTAGAGTCATACTCGATGATTCAGAGGAATGCCAGCGACGGGTCCTACAAGATGCACAGCCTCGTGCATGATTGGTGCCTTGAGAGGCTACGGCAGAACGAAAACAAGGACATCGCCAATCGATTTGCCCTGGCGGCCGTGCAGCTTATACAAATGGCCTTGAAGAAATACACGCCCGCAGAGCAGTGGAGGCCGGAAATACCTCTGTTCCCCCAGTGGTTTAGTGAAGCTGGAGGAGAGACCCCGGATGAGATACGGACGATCCCACATCTCCGAGCGGCCCTCCGGGGCATCGATGCATTGGGGTATGCACCAGAAGCCGAGACGGAGGTTCTGGGAATGCTCGAAGAGCTGGGGGATTTCTTAGACAATAGCCAACGCTGGGCGGATGCTTCCCAACTGTGGTCAACGGCTTCGCAGATTGCGGAACGTTGTTTGTGGGTTGACCCCTCTAAGAGATTCGACCTCATAAACAAGCAGGCCAGGTCTTTTTTCCGGCTTGGAGATGTTGGCAAGGCAGAAGAAGTTCTGGTTGGGGCCGTTGAAACAGCCTCCAACGTGCTCGGCAATCAGCACAAGGCCACGATTAATCTCGGGATGCGGATCAGAAGCATGGAGTACATGAGAGACTTCTTGAAACAGCTCGCGGTAAATTCCGCGCATGAGAAGGAGAAATTGAAAGGCTTAGAGGAGGGAGAAGAAGATGATACTGCTAGCGAAACCAGAGTCCGCCGAATGATGCTGCTCGAAGACTCCAACAATACGAGAGCATTTCTGGAAGAAATGTCCATAGCAATGTCCATGGCCAAGGTATCAGGTGAGGAGGGCTGCGCCATGCTGAAGGCCCAGCTGGCCACGGGGGAATCGGCTCTGTGCAGCCTCGAGAAAACGCTAGGAAGCATTGAGAGAGCCATGAGAGAGAACCGAGAGGTGCTTACCGAGGAGATAGCGGGACTGGCAAACAAGGTTATCCGCCTCGGGGCTGCTCAGCGCGGCTGGCTGGAAGAGGCCTGCACGGCCTACAAGGTCTGCATTGACGAGCTCGAAAGGAGCTCCAGCAACTACCTGCCCCAGGCGCTGCTGGAACTGGCCAACGTCACCGACCTAGCCATGGACCAGGCCCCGATGCAGCGCATTCACCAGCTGCTTGTTGAGATACAGGCTTCGAATACCAAAGTGGTGCTGCACTATCCGCTGGCTGACACGACTGGCTCGATGGATTTCAGAGAGGCCGCGGGCGCCTGGTCAAAGGCCTGTGCGGAGTTGTTGGCTGAAATTAAGGGTCGAAGCTATCTCGATTGGCTGATGCTGGATGTAAAGAAGGCCTTGGCCAAATTTAGGTTAAAGTAGCACGTAAAGGGGCAAACCCGGAATTATTCACCGATCTATCAATATCCACATATAACGTGCGGTTTTCCAAAAATGTAGGATTGACCGGATTACGCGACGCATAAAAGTTGTTGGATTTCACGATCAAGGCGTTGAATAATTTAATAGAAATTTGAGATATTGATTGATTCTTGCCACCTCTTCCGGGGGTCCCGAGAGGGGCTTCTATGTAATACTTTGTGAAATTCGGCCAATCACAACTAGCCTAGTTATATGACCCTTAGGTCCATCGATAGCACTGGAGGCGTGTAGTGCTCGGGAACTATAGTACTCGGGAGGTGTAGCACTCATGTTGAAATGAGTGATTGTATTGTTCTTGTTGCTGTACTAAAGCAGGCGGAAGCCCTCATACTTATACATATTTCAGACTCCACATTGCTGTTTCAGCCACTGTGTTCAACACTCCCACTCGATGACTACTCCGTTAGGACGTCATCGACTATTCATCACAGTGTTAGTAGGCCCCGTTAAAACCTTTGAAAACCTTCTGAAGGGAAAAACAAGGAAAGGGTGCCTGTACAGTTTGCCTTTGCTGTAGTCGAGAGCCCATACTCGTCACTCGATACCCAGCCCTTTCCGAAACCACTCAAACCTATCTCGTGCAAGGGGTTTGGTAAATCCATCAGCGATCTGTTCTGCTGTTGGGATATATTTCAGTTGAACAGTCCCGGCTTCTTGAACTTCGTCTTGCCACTTGCGTTGGATGTCCATGTGCTTAGTTCGTGAGTGGTACTGTGGATTCGAGGATAAGGCTATGGCTCCTTGGTTGTCGCCACAGATGATCGTTGCAGCTCTTCCTTGACCTAAGTTCACCTCATGGAGAAGTCGTCTCAGCCAGATTGCCTCTTTGGTTGCCTGGGTTTGACCCATGAACTCAGCTTCGCAAGTTGATAGTGCAACAACGCTCTGGCGCTTGGATTGCCAACTGATTACTCCGCTTCCAATGCTGAAAAGGTATCCAGCAGTTGATCGTCGCGTGTCACGACAACCGGCCCAGTCCGCGTCTGTGTATCCTTTCAGCATTTGGAGATAGCCCTTGTACGTGAGTCTCAGGTTCTTTGTGCTGCTGAGATACCGCAGGATGCGTCGTGCGAGCTTCATATGTTGCGGTCCCGGGTTTGCCAAATACCGGCTCGCCATGGACACTGCGTAGGCGATGTCCCCCCCTCACGTATAAACAACCTGGTAACAAGCCAACGTGGAGTGGTATCGCGGCGATGCATTGGGCAAGATAGCAGTGTTGCCCTAAACGCAATCCAAACGCAACTATGACAGTGACTTCACCCTTATTGGCCTAACTAAGCCACTCTCAAGGCCATGCGGCATCGAAGCCCTTCTGACGTGGTCCAATCTCAGCAACAGAAAGAATGAATTTGTTACACCTTTCCAGCTTAGGTAGACTCAGTGCCACGCCAGTTTCCTACATCCTAAATAAAGGCCTAAACATTTATGAAAAGTCTAATGAAATATTATTGATGGTTATTTAGGACAAGAATTCCCATTCGCCCGGAACCAAGCGAGTTGAAATGTCGTCATCCCCTGCCACCGTACATAGAGAACCTCTGCCCTACACAAGAGATTATGTCACTAGGTTAGGTGATTTATTATTCTAACCTAACAAGTGCCGGATTACTAAGATCCTATATCTATGCCTCAATGAATGCTGACCTACCCGGAACAGCTGCTATATATATATCCAAATTACAAACTCAATGATCTTAACCTCCAAAGAGAAGAGTTTTAATACTAAATATATAATTCTACTGTTCAACACTTATATCTCCACTCACTCACTATATACCAGCTTTAGACTACTATATCAGAGATTACTGTCTTGTGCAATGAGAAACCAATCGGGACTATGGAGGCATCAACTCCATATTTCAAGGTATTTGTTGATTCATCATCAAAAGAGAAACTACTATCCGCATTCCAAAGATTCCAGTTGAATACTCTTACCAACTATAGAAAAGGGAAGTTCGTGTATATATAAAGCCAAAATAAGATTATGCTATTGCGATTAAGGCTGGGAGCTTCTTGTCACATATTCAAGAGAGCCTAAATGCCATCAATGCCTACCAAGAAAGGCTAAGTTAGGAACTCAAACATCTCTGCACATGTATATTGACTTTTCGGCTACCGCTCCTGCTCAAAACCTTTGCTCCGCTCCAACAGGGCCTCACAATTTAACTCTTGGCTCCTGTCAGCGCTAGGCTTAGGTCTGCTGATAAATTCAGGCCCTATGTTACCTAGTCCAGAAAGGACAAAACGAAGGCGATCACCTACCGCTTTTGGACGAATATCCAGCTATAGCCACACCTTATATATTTACAACATATATGGACTATACCGTCTATGATTGGCATTGTTAGGTCATTAAAGTCTCCCACCTGAATTGCTATATATAGACAGATATAATATCAGTGGGTTCGGCGGTCACGGCACATGGAGACGACTGCCTTAAATGGAAAAAGGTATCCTTGCTCCTACCTCATAGACAAACAGACTTATCCTGATATGTATGATAGTTGTATTCCTCAAGGGCAACTCATTGGCACAAGTTCATAGTTCTACAATGATGGCTGACGATAGCTTTGTAATATAACTATAATCCCTCGAACTAACATGGGTGCAGAGCATATGGTTGGAACTCGAAGGTAAACATAACAGACCTAAATATAGGAGACACGGTGGTTCTCGGGTCGTTTATATAGCCCTCGGCCATCTATATAAGTCTACTGCCGCTCGCTGTCTGCATAAACTCTTTTCTTTTCCATTCATCATTAACATTCTACAACAACCTTCTTAAAAACTGAATCTTTTATCCTTTAACATTATTCCTTTCTTCTCGACAGTTGACGCTGGTCTGATTCTGTTATAACTCAATTTCTTTTACACCCCATCACCATTTTCTTTTTTTCGCTTCTCTTTTTGGAATTCAAAATGGTCGCCATCAAGCAAATGATTTCTGGCCTCCCTCTTCTGGCGGCCGTCGCTACGAGGGTTGCTGCCCAGCAGGTCGTCTCGGACGATCTTGCCGTCCGAGCCGGGTTCGCCAACGAGGACGCTCCGCTCGAAGCCCGCTTTGACGAAGAGGATGACTCCTTCCTCCAGCTCCGCGATCAGGAGATCACGCTCGAGGAGCGTGCCAAGGAAGGGACGCCAAGCATGTACCGTCGAGGAGGCAATGGCAAGCCAGGCAAACCAGGCACTGGAAAGCATGCACGCAGCATGTACCGACGAGGAGGCAACGGCAAGCCAGGCAAGCCAGGCACTGGAAAGCATGCACGCAGCATGTACCGACGAGGAGGCAACGGCAAGCCAGGCAAGCCAGGCACTGGAAAGCATGCACGCAGTATGTACCGACGAGGAGGCAACGGCAAGCCAGGTAAGCCAGGCAAGCCTTAAATCAGCAGTCCCACCAACACCAGGAGCACTCACCCTCTTACTATACCTGAAAAACACCTGAAGCTCGCTGCCAAGTCTGGCCCCGGCTTTCATTACCCTCCATCAACAGTGATCCATTCTACCTGGAGAGGTACATCAAGAAGCTGTGAATTACTGGTATGGAACTCTCCTGGGGTGTTGCATTTTGAAGAATGGCGGCGAATTACAATTGAAGTTGGAGAAACATATAAAGTATAGCAATAGCATAGAAAGGAATGACTATTTGCTTAGACATCTATTTCTATAGGGGTTGTATTTACTAGATGTGACCTTGGTGGCCCTCTGGCACCAGCCTGCAAGACAAATGCAAAACACATCTCCACTGATTGATAACCCGTGCCACTTCCTCCAGTAACTATAAGACGCAGAGATGAGTTGAGTAATAGATCCCAAATTCTCCAAGTTTCGCATTCACTGTGTTGAGATGTCGGGTCTGGCATCTTCCATTGCTGTTTCTTACTGTGCGAGTCAAACCACTCGTATTCTAAAGCCCGTCTGTCTGTCACGAGTCCTCAAGCTTCTAGAGACAAGATGTGTACCTATGGCTGCTTTGTAAAATACGCTACCACGAGGTCATCATGCTCTTATTCCATCCCACTCCGCGTCCAAGTACACCGTGTCAAAGTGCTTCACCAGTGCTAAAGCCACCATCGACCCAAGAAAAAAGCCTGGCTATTTCGAATAAGACATGATACTCTTAGCCGAGTGTTCACTCTTCATGTGAGTGCCATTATCATACTCGACTACATCTAGATGGTTTAAGGTTTAGCTGTCAACACGAAAATTAGTAATCTCACACAAATCATGACGACGGCGAGCAGCTGCCGAGTGTTTCCGGCGAATACTCAACCGATGCAAACCAATGCCGCAACTATTGATGGCCTATAGGCGTACGCGCTCACACGCATTCTCGGGGCCACGATGCGCGGCCCGAGCCTAAGGGACACCCGGAAGTTGATGAAGCCGAGTTATTGCGACAACGCAGCACCTCAAGCGAGTCCTAGGGATATGTAGGACAGACAATTCCAGCGGAACCCGGGGTTTCCATAAATCGACACTGATATCAACAGAGAGGACTTGACAACGCTGGTCAGGCACGGGCTTGAGAGTTCCGAGTAGCTTGGCTCATATAGCAAAAGACAGCATTGGATGATGCCTAACCCGGCGCCTCAACACAAACCGCGGAAGTGGCTCTCGAATCCATCTCTGTAATGATCAATGGCTTGGACTTTGACGGTCTCTTTCTTCTGCTAGCGAGCTAGGAACATAGCTGAGTCGCTGGGGATAGAGGAACTGAGAAGATATGCGAGGACTGTCGATCTGCCTAGCAAGCTGCCTTGCATAATTGAAGGCGCAGCCAGTCAACGGTGTTGGAGGTGGATGCGACAAGGGCCCTAAATAAATAATTAAATCCCACATAATCATAAATCATACGGTCGCAATTCCAACCCCCTTAACCCTCGACCGCGGCCCTATATAGGCGCCAACTCCAAGTCACCAAACAGCCCATTCTTGATCTCGTCATGGTTTGATACCACCCTCTGCCTCATAGCTCTCTTCGAGCTTTGTCCATCAACCCATCCGCCGATCGCAACGTCCAATTGGAGTGTTATCTCTCGCTCGCACGGATCGATGAGCGACCGTATGAGGCTCTGTTATACATCTGGGGTCAGGAGGACGCGACCCACAGCATCCTCATGGATGATAAAGAACTGTCCCGATATTTGATAGATTATTTTGTATGCCCACACACGTACGTCTATGGAGAAATAAGCATATACCTTCTTCGACCAACCCTCCCAGACGCGTCATCCTGTATTTCACCCAATATACAATAAACCGCCAAGCTTCTTCACATATTCTAGACCCACACTAGACTGTTCTTATTTCAAGATACCAAGAGCAGTCCGAGATATAGAGGACAAGGATCAACTATCATAGCTTCAAATCGCCAATCGATTCCTAAAGGTTTTTCAGCTACATCCCGCGTAATAAGCGAGGCAAAGAAACGTAGATTGATGAATAAGACCTGTCATATGTGAAATGATGTATCCCCGCGAGGAGGATTCTTCATCTTCTTGTACTCCCTTTCTCTGAGAAGTGATGCCGCAAACGGTCCGTTTCTAGCAAAATCCTATAACGGGGTCCAGGTCTCTATATATATCACCCTCACGAACAAGTTCTTTAAGCCTTGAACAATAACACCATAGGTTCCCTACCCGGAGGTGAGGCATCAACTTAGAATATCAGCTTAATCCCACACCCCGACCCGGTGGTTTCTGACCTAAGAACACGCCTTAGCACTATATAGCTAAAAAAAAAGTATCTTAAAATAAGAAGTAGATACTTAGATTAATATATTAAATAAAAAGCCTAAGATAGATATAGTTAAATAATTTAGTTTATTTAAATTATATACTATAAACTAAAGGCTTTAGAATAAGTAATTAGTTTTCTCTTTAGGAGTATTAAATCTATAATTATTAGGCCTTTAATTTAATAATAAGGGCGAGCTTAAGATCTAATTAAGTCTTTAATATCTTATAAAGCCTATTAAAGCTTATAGCTATAGATATATTAGTTAAAACTAAGTATTTAGTTATATTAAATAGAATATATATAAAAAAACTATCTAGGCTTATAATAATAGACTTAATACTTCTATTATCTTAAGGCTATATTAAGCTTTCTTTATTATAGTATTACTATAAACTTAAGAGTAAGCTTATAAGCTAGTATAGATAAATAATAAGCTTTAATAAAGTAGTTTAATATTATAGAACTTTACTTAGATTTTACTTTAGTAGGGTATCTTTATAGAATTTACCTCTAACTTTATTATATATAATAAATATAACTCCTAGTTCTATTTTCTTATTTTTAAATATATTAAGCTCTAGAAATAGCTTAGAAGTAATAAATTATCTCTAAAAGCGGATATTTAGCTATAAGCTCTATATATATCTTAAAATAAATAAAGGCTAAGTAATATTAATATAATTTAATAGCCTTAGAAGTTATAATTAAGTATTATTTAATAAAATTCTAGGATTCTTACTTTTATAGTTATTTAATTAGAATCTATTTACTATATTATTAAATTATATAGAGATTACTATCTATAGAAGTTAAAGGCTAAAATTAATTATTTAATAATAAAATAAAAGCACTTAATATAATAAAGTAAGAGTCTCTTACTTTATCCTCTTATTATTCTACTTATATTATAAAGTAAATAAAATTACTATTTTATTAATACTTTAAAAGAATTATCACTTTTTACCTTTATAATTAATCTTATATATAATTATTAGTTATATTATATAATAAAGATATATTATTACTTAACTTTATAAGCTAAAACTATAATAATTTTAATAAACTAATTTCTATTTTAAATTAACTATTATTATTAAAGAGCTTTATTATAAGTTTCTTAATAGGTTCTTTATAACTTTTAGCTAATATAACTTAACTAAGTAACTAATTATTAGAACTAAGATATTATATAATCTAATATAATTAGCTTAATTAAGGTTAGTTTAATATAAATATATCTTTTTTCCTAGATTAAAAGAGCTTTAAGCTTAAAGAAGATATATATAGTAATTTATATAATTATCTCCTCTAGAAGTATTAAAGATATATAACTTAAATAAATATAATTATAATTTTTACCTATTTAAATATATAAAATTTAATAATTAAGAGTTTTAAAGTTATATTTCTTTAAAGTAATTATAACTATAAATATAAATATTAAATTAAGGAAATTAAGTATATTTAGTTTAATTAAATAATAATTAAAACTAATAAGAATTACTTACTATATTTAAGAAGCTAAATAAACTAAAGGACTAAGATTTCTTTAAATAAGCTTTAATAATAAATACTAACTTTAAAGATATCTTATATTTATTATAATTAACTACTTTTACTAAATATAAATCCTATAAACTTATAAAGCTTATAAAGCTAATCTTTAGAGAATATAAAGTAAAAGTATCCTTTATAAATTAATTTAGGAAAATAAGCTTTATTAAGGGAGAATAAGCTATAAAGGTATTTATTAACCTTTTAAATAAAGATAAAGAGGTATATAAGATAAGCTAAATAGATTTCTATATTCTCCTTTTTAAATATAATAAGGAAAAGAAAGAGCTATAAAATATATCCTTTTAAATTAATTAATATATAAGTAATTATTATATAGAGACTTACTCCTTAATAAGTATAGAAAAGAGAGAGAATAATAATATTTACCTTTTCTTTAAGAACCTAAAAACTATATATAAAGTAGATAAATTTTAAAGAAAGAGCTATACTTAGAAAGTATATTTTAAGTTATTAATATAAGCTAAAAAGCTTAATATTAATTAAGAAGCTTAAATTAATAATTAGAAGTAAGTAATAAATATTATAAAACTTAGAAAGATTATAAACTCTTTTAATTTAAGTATATAGTTTAATAACCTTAAGTAATATTTAAATTTAAGGTTTAAAAGCTTACTTTAAATAGAGAAAGGCTAAAATAAAGCTAAGATAACTAAAGGTATATATTAAGTAATAGATTTTATAAATACCTTTAAAGAGGAGATTTAATATAAACCTTAACTTACTAAAGTAGGTTTAAATAAAAACTTTAAACCTTAAGTAATAAAAAGTAATTTTAGTTTAATATTTTAAGGAGAAGAAGCTTTAAATAAAAAGTAAAAATAGTAAATAAAAGAGGAAGTTAAATAATATAAGGATAAATAGTAAAAAAAGCTTAAGATTAATAAATCTTAATATCCTAAGTATATTTTATATAGAAAATAATATAAAAGTATTAATATAAAAGCTTATTAATTACTCTTTCTAAAAAATAGTTTTCTAAGTTTAAAAGAGGAAGATTAACCTTTAATATATAGAAGAAGTACTTAAAGGAGTCTTTTAAAGCTTAAAAGCTTTATTATAAGCTTATTAAAAATAAAGAAAATTAAAATTAATAATTAATAAATTAAAACTATATATTAAGCTTTA